AACGAGGAACTGTGGTTCATTCTACCCAGATAGGTCCGTCTGGCAGTTACACAGGTCGAGAGTGAGGTCAGGGAGGCCCATCAGAAATATCCACCTCCCAAGGAGTGTCCAAATGGTTTCCTGTTTTTTCCTGATCATCTGGTGGCCAAGGTACTCAAATTCTGCCATTAATCATCACTTTTCTGTCATCCAGGAATTACTAAAACCCTAAGTTTAGTCAAGTCACAGTTCTGGTGGGGTTCCTTAAATAAGGACGTTAGAGACTTTGTTGGGGCATGTCCCCAATGCTCCCTGGCCAAGACCTCTCGACATCCTCCGGCGGTTCTCCTCAGACCGCTTCCCTTCCCAGCTCGATCCTGGTCACACATTGCCATGGATTTCAACACCGGTCTGCCTCAGTCTGAGAGTAAGTCAGTCATCCTCACTATCATCGACAGATTCTCTAAAATGGTCCACCTGGTGGCGCTGGAGAGACTTCCTACATCCAAAGAACTCAGCCAAGTCATGCTGAAAGAAGTTTTCAGACCTCATGGACTTCCTAAGGATATTGTCTCAGATCGTGGACCTCAGTTCATATCAAAGTTTTGGAATAAGTTTTGTAATCTTCTGGACATTAACATCAGTCTCTCCTCAGGTTTTCACCCTCAGACTGATGGTCAAACCGAACGGGCTAATCAGGAGCTGGAGACCCGCCTTCGTATCCTGTGTGGTGAGCATGCCGCCGGATGGTTCAAGAACCTACCACTTATGGAACACGCCATGAACTCCATGATTTCTTCAGCCACTGGTCTTTCTCCATTCTACGTGGTCTATGGATACCAGCCACCGGTGTTCACCATCCAGGACTGGGCTGCTCAAGGTGGGACAGAAGGTTTGGCTCTCCACTAGGGATTTACCCCTGAGGGTTGAATGCAAGAAGTTGGCTCCCCGTTTTGTTGGTCCTTTCCCAATTTCCAAGGTGGTGAATCCGGTGGCGGTCAGGCTGACTTTACCAAGGTCCATGAGAGTTCACCCCACTTTTCAAGTGTCCCGGGTCAAACCATACCTGCAGTCTTGATTGGAGCCCACTTCCAGGCCCCCTCCTCCTTCCCGTCTGATAGATGGCGGTCCTGCCTACACTGTGAGATGACTACTGAAGTCTCGATGTTGGGGAAGAGGTCTACAATACCTAGTTGACTGGGAAGGTTATGGCCCAGGGGAAGGGTCAGTAGCCGGACCTTAGGAGGAGGTTACTGTCATGAATTTCATGTGTTCTCTGCCCAAGTCATGTCACAGTTAATTTCTTTTGCTAATTGTTTTGCCCCTCCCATCACAGAAGTTCCAATCAAGCTCATGCTACTCACCTGATTTTCCCAGTATTTATTCCAGTCCTCTCCTGCAGTTCATTGCCAATCTCAGCCTCGTCTAGATTTACCAGCGTTTCTCTTCATGCCTCGTTTTGCCTACCACGTCTTGACCCTCGCCTGGATTCTTGGTACTACGTCTTTTGCCTCTGCCCTTGCCGGATTTGTTTGCTCCTCGGTACCCGACCACCGCATCGCCTCAACGAACCACGTCTCTTGCTTGCCCCTCTGGACACCTTCGCCTCATGTCTCCCAGGTACTGGACCCAAGCACTGAATAATGACCAACGAGAAAAGCCTAACCCCCCTAAGCGATAAGCTAAAGAGTTAGGTTGTTTACCCAAGTCCGACGAATTATGGACATCACTTTCGGGATTCCCCAGTGATGTCATCAGGACTCCCAGACACCAAACAGTCCAGATTTCTCATTGGACCTCCCAACAAACCTCCAGGTTAGTGGCTGTTAATCACTCTTCTCTGAATCAATA